ATTGGGGACCTAGAATGGGAGCCCAATTGAGAGACCTACCCAAATGGTCCAGAGGACTGAATTCTGATGCTCTGTCAGGTAGAGCGGACATGTAAAAGTTCTCAGTGTTGTTGACAGTCAGTCAATCAGCTGAAAGAGTTGAAGGCTGAAGACTGTAAGACTTGGCACAAACCCCAAACCGCTTCAACTTTTCAAGCGAGTTCTGAACCCGAAACGTTTTAGAAATAAGTGCTTGCTATACCCAAGCGCCCTGGCCCTGTCTTTCTCTGGGGCGGTTCAGGCAAAGGACGTCGAGCGATCGGTTTAGGGTTGACCTTGACATTCGATTGTGACTGTTGGTTGGTTGTTCACTCTTGACAGGATGCTCAGCACTGCTGCATGGTTCTTGTGAACTATTGCATGGCGGTGATATCCTTATGATGATGATGATGGTGATGATGNNGATGGTGATGATGATGCTGATGATGCTGCCGATGATGATGATGATGATGATGATGATGATGATGATGATTCTCGTGTCATGGAGGTTTCTTGTTGTGTCTTTGAGCTTTTGTGGTAGCCTTTGAGTTTAAGCTAAGGCTTCGTCAGGTCGTGAAGAGCAGGTTCCAGCAAGGCTAGGAGGGTTTGTTCACATCTGGGCTGAGAGTTTGCGGCTCGAGGCTCTTAGACTTGATGGCTTCCACCTTGTTTATCGGTCGCAGAATCATCAGTAGGCAGAACTTCAAACCCTAAACCCTAAACCTTAAACCCTAAACCTTAACTTCCCATAACGCGCCGACGCGTTCGTTGCATGCAGCTTGCTGCGCGCTGAGGCAAGAGAAGCCTCAGGCGGCCCTCAGTATCGTGGGACAGCTTCTCGGCCGCAGAGTGGGCGACATTAACTTGGCGTTCTTTTGGTTGGCTCTTAGGACTTTAACTTTCTGGGTTTCTATATGAACTATAATATCCAGGCTAAAAGTTTAACTTTTAGGAGGGGTTCAGAAGTAAGCCAAGTTAAATGTGGATGGTGTGGCGCTGGCGATTTGGTGTTGGTGATGACGCCCGATGGTCATGATGGTGATGGCTGAGTTGAGATCTGTCTTCTGAGGTGACAACACATGTATTCGAGGGGGCCTTCTTTGAAAAGGGCTTAACACCGCTTGACTAGCGAATCGGAGCTTTGGCGGGAGCATGGCTTCTGGTCGGACGGCCTTAATCTGTTTCTTGGAGGGCCACAGCTGACCCTAAACCCTAAACCCCTAAACCCTAAACCCTATACCCTAAACCCTATACCCTAAACCCCTAAACCCTAAGCCCTAAACCGGCTCTGGCTTCAGAAGCCCGAGCCTCCTCGTGTTCGGGTCTTGGGGCTTTCCAGCGTGTCTAATGGCAAGTGTTTAGGGTTTAGGGTTAAGTGTGATATGCTTGAGTCGCGTGGTCGTAACCCCCTTTGGGGGCTACAGATGCGGCTCAGCAGGCTTAGCAGAAGTGTGGGTTCAAACATCTCGTGTTCTAAGGGTTATGCCCTGTATATGCACACACACACACACACACACTCTCTCTCTCTATATATATATATATACACACACATCATAGTCTGTATTTGAAAGGTATGTATGTGCGTGTGTTTGTGTACACGTATTTTAAAGGTATATGTGTCGTAATTTTTGGGGCTACATGTCGGCCCAGGGTTGCGGTGTGGGGCCCAGAACACCAAGTGCCAAGACCATGAATGTGTCGTATGGGTTTAGGGTTTAGGGTTTAGGGTTTAGGGTTTAGGGCGTGTGCATGTCGCAGCACCTTGAGGACCAAATGACCCTTAAAAGTAGGGGCCTGGTTCCCATTTTCTATGAACCCCTATATGGTAGATGAACCTTGGCTTTTTTTAGGGTTCATGTCGTCCCTAAGGCACCAGTGGCTAATCTCCCACAAGTGGGGATTCTTGAAACTACGGGTGCAGTAAGGCTAACTTACATAGGAGAGGGTTTCTTATACAAAGGGTCCTGAGCTGACGGCATGTATTCGGGTCTTTGGTTTCGGAAAGCTTGGTTTGCTGGCTTTACGAAAGTCTTAGGGGTACTTCGTAATAAATTTTAATCTTTGGCTACTATAAACCCTAAGAAGCAGCTCAAATTCTAATTTTGGCTAGGGGTCTGAGTTCAGTATAGAACTATCGGGGAGAGTGCACCAGTTCGTCGGAATGCCCTTTCCCAGGGCTTCAAAAGAAATTCAACCCTTAAGCCCTAAACCCTGTGCCCTACCCACCCAAAACATCCCCAAAGCTTAAGTCGTGAAATACCCGGGCACAAACGGGCCGTGATTGTTACCCAAAACATTAAGGCCCTTAAACCCCAAAAACCTAAAGTCTACACTCGAAACCCTAAACCCCTAAACCCTAAACCCCTAAACCCTAAACCCTACACCCGAAACCCTACAGTCTAACTATCATAGCCCCTACATGAAGCCCTGCAGCTTTGCCTCTCCCTGTCCTTTGCTTTACACGAATAACGGGCCTCAATCATTACCTATACTATTTTAGGGGGCTTCCTTATTCTAACTACAGTTTCATGGGCTCCAAAACCCTATTCTAACTGTTAAGGCCCCCTACACTCTAAACCCTGATAGTAGCCCTTATAGAACCGTTTAAGGAACCCTTTAAAGGGAGCCCTATAAAAGGCCATTCTAGTTATTAAGGCCCCTACATTGCCATTTCGGCTTACGCACGCTGTACAAACAGGCGGATGAGCTTCTGAAGGGAAGGCCTCAGGGCATTGGTTTGGCGGGTTTCGGTTTAGGGTTTAGGGTTTAGGGTTTAGGGTTTAGGGTTTAGGGTTTAGGCGAAAATAGGGTACCCTAATATTAGCACCCTAAGTAGTAGGATCCTAATTTTGAAGGACCCCAAAATAAGGTACCCTAATTTTCGGAAACTCCCGCTTGAGTTTTCCGTGGGCTCGGCAGTAGTTTTGCATGTTCACCCCTAAACCCTAAACCCTAAATTCAGGGACCTTTGGGAAAAAGCTGCGTAGTCCCAAGCCTCAAACCATGAACTTCCCGGGTTTGGATTCGGAGTTAGGGAATATAGAGTTTCGGGTTCCGGTGTTCAGGGTTGGAAAGTCCAGGTACTCATTGACCCGACTTCCGCGCACTCAACCCTAGTTAGCCCTGTCCATGTGAAACCCTAAACTTTCGGCCCTAAGCCCTTAAGGGTTTAGGGCTTAGGGTCTAGGGTTAAACTCTAAAGCCCTAAACCCACTCCGAGGTATTCGGAAAAGTTCCGCGCCGCTGGGAACAAGCGCGGACAGGCCACCATGCTCCTGGCCCTGGCAGAGAACCCTGCCTGCACATGGGTAGTTTTCTAAACTAGGGTCCCTTTTAGGGTCGTGCCGTACTATATTGGGGACCCAAAAAGGGACCCTAATTTAGAAAACTACCCACATGACAGTCTTTGTAGTCTTGCCTTTCACACGTACACATGGTTGGTTGTCAAAATTATGGGGTCCCTTGTTGGGGTCCTTATTATGATACGGCACCTATTATTTAGGGTGCCCCCAAAAAGGGACCATAATTTTGACAACTACCCACATGTATCACCATGGTCATGACCGCCGTTTGCCCCTGTTCTTTTGGACGGAAGCCCCCTTCTTCCCTGAACCCGGCGGTTTAGGGTTTAGGGTTTAGGCAGGGCCCATGCTCTAGGATTTAGGGGTTTTGCCTGAGCCCGAAGACCTAAACCCTAGACCCTTAACCGATGGAGGAGATTGAGTGTTCTGGGATTCAGGACCTGAGCTTTCTGCTTGAAATCGAAACTCACGAAAGCAGCTTATTGCCCCGAACCCTAAACCCTAAACCCTAAACCCTAAACCCTAAACCCTAAACCGAACCCTAAGCCCAGACCCGGACTGGTCCCTCAATGCCACGCCCTCCGAAGCTTCCCAAGTCCGACCAATGGTTCCCTCAACTCTAAACCCAAAGGGTCCTAGGTACTATTATGGGGGTTTAGGGTTCAGGGTTTAGGGGTTTAGGGTTTAGGCTTTAGGGTTCTTCCCCAAACCATAATAGTAATTCCTAATATGGAAACCTGACAGTGCACCGTATAGGTTCTTAGGACCCTTTGGGTTAAGCCCGCCAGCATACATGCCGCCGACTGGTCTTAAGCCATGAGGCTCTAATCCGAACCCCCCCGAAGCCCTGAGACTTGTTACAATAACCTAGTTCTCTAATACCCAACCTTGAACTTTTTTGTGTTCTTATAACTTAGTGACTGAGTAGTAATCTGAAAGTTTACCTTTTATGTCCTTGGCTTATTGGGGAAGTAAGATAAGAGAATGCAGTGTACGCTATAGAGAATCACATAGCATACAAAGTGTAATGTATTACCACATGGTAAAACATAGTATGATACAGTACACCAGAGTATAGCATAGTATATTAACTGTATGTACTTAATGATACAAAACAGCACCACAGTATAGTGTAGGAATTACGTTAGACCCTACTTGTGGGACCTACAAGCCCTAGACCCCAGTTCCACCTGAGGATTAACCACGACAAGCGTGGTCGCAAGAAACGTCAGGCGCGTGGATCATGTGAGGGCTAGGCTTCAGGGTTGAGGGGTTTAGGGTTGAGGGGTTCAGGGGTTTAGGGTTTAGGTTTGAGGGGTTTAGGGTTGATCGAGGGGTTCAGGGTTTAGGGTTTAGGGTTGAGGGGTTTAGGGTTGAGGGGTTTAGGCTATGCTCCGTATCGGGGTTCAGGGCTTAGGGTTTAGGGACGACGCTCATTCATGTTGAGCATTGTTGTTGTGATTATTATTGTTGTTGCTATCTCGAAGATGATTATGTCAAAAAATGCGATCAGTATCGTTAGTTTTTGTTTTGAGGGAGACGCGGGGATGCCTTTGCACGGTGGTTGCTGGGGAACCTTGCGGCCACTGAGGTTTTAGTGGATTTAGAGCTTGTTTGAAGCTCAGGTGCAGAACCTTCCCAACAAAAGTCGTAGGTTGGCCAAAACCACCCCTCTACAACCCTCAGCCATCGCTACCCTAAGCCCTAAAAGTTAAGCGATCCCGCAGGTTACGGCATGAGTGGCTGATGGTGTAGCTAACAGGCCTCCCGTAACCACCCCTCAGCCTAACTTGGCGTTCCAAACCCAGACATGGGCGAGAGAAAAGAGGGTTCAAAAGCAACGATCCCCCAACGAGGTCGCCCAGAGTACCCTGCGACCCCTTGTGCATCCTCCCGGAGCCTCCGCATTGTGATAGCGCTTACGAGACAGAATTTATAGGGTTTAGGGTTCCGGGTGCCCTCATCTACAAGTGGTTACTGTTACCCATAGGCCCCATAGTAGTTCCTTTTTGGGATTACTAAATTACCTTATAGGATTCTAAATATGAACCCCCACAACCTAAACCCTAAACCCTAAACCCTAAACCCCAAAACCCTAAACCCTAAACCCTAAACCCTAAGGGTATAGACAGATCCAAACTCGAAAAACAACTGAAGAGCCTGGGTCGAAAACACGCCGCGGATGAAGGAGTCACTGGTCAGTGCACAGGAAGCATTGCCCTTTCGCCTGCATTTTGGGGTTCGAGGTTTAGTTTTCAGTGTTTGGGGTTTTGAGGTTTAGTTTTCAGTGTTTGGGGTTTTGGGGTCTAGGCTGCTAGCGGTGGAGGTTGATGGTGATCTGGGTATGGATGAGGGGCTTTCGATGTTGCTTGGTGGGGTCACTGCCAAAACACATCGTTGTTCGATGTTCTGTACTTGGGATCCCGCATCGTTAGGCAAACTCCTAGGTCCTATACGGCTTGCATCTTATTCATGATGCCGGTGCTGTTCGGGTGTTCTGGGAAGGATGGCCTTCGTGTTGTATGCCTAGTTTCTTTTTTTTTGGGTGGGGGGCATCATGTCCGATTCATACTCAGCGGCATGACCCACAGAATGTGATTCGAATGGCTTGAAAACCCTTTATACATACAAAAGGCAGGAGACCTCTGCTCATGTGATCCTATTGGCCGACACTTTGCCAATGGTTGCTTGGTGTGAGCATGACAACCATGAGATGCATAAATGCACACATGTGCATATACCTCTGTATATATATATATATATATGTATATATATATATATATATGCCCCCGGAGACAGCACTGGTTGCCTGCGCACCACTCGTACCAACCGTGTTCTCACTGGCGGCTGGGCCCTGAACCCTCTAAACTCTAAGCAAACCAATCCCTAAAGCCCGAGAATCCTATACAACCCCTTAAACCCTAAACTCTATCCTTCAACCCTAATATCCCGAAGCCCGAAATGCCAAACCCGAATCGTAACCCACCTACAAAGATCCTCTAACACCCTTACTACACCTCCTGTAAAAACCCCAAACCCCAAACCCTGCACCCTAAACCCTAAATCCCCTTTGTAAAGCCGAAAGTCCATGACCCGTTCAGCCCCAACCAGGCCCTGACCCTTAGAGGGACCCTTAAAGGAACCCATAAAGGGACCCTTAACGGGACACTTGAAGGAACCCTTAAAGGAACTCTTAACGGAACTATTAAGGGAACCCTTAAAGGAACTCTTCAAGGAACCCTTCATGGAACCCACAAAGGAACCCTTAAAGGAACTCTGAAGGGACCCTTAAAAGAACCATTAAGGGAACCCCTAAAGGAACTCTGAAGGGACCCTTAAAGCAACCCTTAAAGGAACCCTTAATGGAACCCACAAAGGAACCCTTAAAGGAACTTCTCCAGGGACCTTTGAAAGTGCAATCCGAGGCAGACTTTCCAGCAGACCCAGGATACAAAGTTTGAGGCAGACGGGCAGAAGTTGCCCAGGGACTCCCAGAAAAGCTTAAGGGGTTTAGGGTTTAGGGTTTAGGGTTAAGGGATCTTCCTGAAATTCAGGAACGTACCTGAAATCAGTCTTACAGATCCTATTTCCAGCCGGGTAGTAGAGCAAGGAGGCCATGAGGATTGTGTAAGGGTCCTACAGGTCCTCTCAAGCTCAGAAGGGTTTATCAAGAGGCATAGCCCGGAAAGAAGCAGAATTATGGATGCGGTAGTGATTCCACTGTTCGAGGCCTCAGGGCGTCACGGCGTGAGCTTGCTTGCAACCTAACCAACTCTTTTGTAGGTTAGCTTTTAGGGCTCCGTGCTTTCACGGGTTTAGGGTTAGGGTCTCGGGTTTAGGGTTCGGGATTTGGGGTTTAGGGTTTAGGGTTTAGGGTTGTTCGGGGTTACGAGTTTTCGGGGCTGGAGCGCTTAACGCTATGACGTAATTAAGGGGCATAACCACATGCTCAACTCTTTTGTCTAAGTTTGAAACCATGGGCCCCTAGTACGGGCCCTTAACCCTGGGACCTTGATATACCTTGCCCACCTTAAGTATATCCTGTATACACCCTTAGGGGTCCCTTGAATCCCCCTCAAGGGCCTAAGGGTACGTATTAGGGGCCCATACTTCTATCCTTAGGTTTTGAGCATGAGCATGTCCTTTACAAGCCTAGGCCTGGAGGCGACCACCCAACAACCTACCCTAGACCCTAAGCCCTAAGCCCTAAACCCTAAACCCTAAACCCTAAACCCTAAACCCCTAAAGCCCTAAGCCCTAAACCCTAAACTCTAGCCTTTGTGAGCTGCTCTAAAGGCCCTATAGACCTCGGACAGCCTAATCCCCGAAGCCATGACAGCCTCGCCGGTTTCGAGTTGGGTGGTTTTTAGGGTCTTAGGGTTTTAGGGTTTTAGGGTTTAGGGTCTAGGGTTTTAGGGCTTTTAGGGTTCCTGTCGGAAGCTTTCAGAAATTATCGTAAAGGAAAAGAACAGACATTAGTCTTGCTTGACCACTGAAGGCTTTGACGCTGATGGTAATGTCTATGGCGCACTACAAGTTCTTCATGTACGACGACATGCTCTCGGACCGTCTTTCTTGCATGCGCGTAGGGCCAAGGTTTCGGGAGGTTGTTTGAGTCGCAAAATCTGCAGCCTCACCACACCGTTTAAGGCGTGCTCTGATTAGTGTTCAATGCCCACCCTTTATCCGAGTCTCTAGTCTTACAGCTGTGGTGGTTCTTGACGGTTTGCTGCTCCTAAGACACTGCATGCCCCTCCAAGGGATCACTAAGCTTCAGGTGTGGTCGTTCGCGTGTTTGTTTGATTTGGAGCTTCAGGAATTTCAACTGTTTATGGGTGTTGTTTTTCTCTTGGTTTTTGGAAGCTTTATTTAAGAATTTGCTGGTTCAGGCTTCTTGTGAAAGCATCCTTGCATTCCATGCAGGCTGAGACTCTTAGCATGTTCCAAAACATCAACTGTTGCGTTCCTATGGGTTACGGGACTTAGAGGGCTTTCAGGGCATGCGCAGGCATGTCCTTCTCAACCGATCAGGGCACCCAGAGGTTGGGGTAATTTGTTTGGATACTTTTCCTTTTGGGCACTTGTACATACAATGCTAATATAGGGGCCTCAAGAATTACCTATACTATTTTGGTGGTTCCTCATTATAACTATAGTATGAAAATGGCTTCCAACCCCCATTCTTATTATTAAGCCCCCTGTATTACATACATTCTGCTGCATTGCAAGGAGTCCGACACTATGCCCCTAAACCCTAAAAACCCTGCCCTAAACCCTCAACCCTCTAAACCCTAAACCCTAAATCCTGAACCCTAAACCCTATAAACCCTATAAGCCCTACAAACCCTAAACCCTAAACCCTAAACCCTAAGCCCTAAACCCTATAAGCCCTAAACCCTAAACCCT